ATCCAGAAAGAGTTAGAAGAAGCTAAAGAGAAACTGGCAAGGCAACATAAACGGGTAAGTCTTTTTTTTTATTGTCAAGGTTATGTACAGAGGGGTTATAGTTACATAAGTAATTTCTTGTCAAACTTAGTACCCCTTCCCTCATTTTTCTCCTACTTTCCCTTCCCCTAAATGGGTAAGTCTTATATACAGAAATTCTGGAGAATATTCAAAGATACTAACTTGATGGTGAAGTTGTAGAAGCAGAGGAGGAGGAAAAAGCAGGTAGTCTCTTGTCTGCTCTTGTCCTACATGGTCTATAGTGGATTTCTTAATGTTTTCCTTTCTGCAGCGAAGTGATGATGACGATAGAAGCAGTGACAGGAAGGATGGGGCCCTTGAGGAGCAAATAGAAAGACTACAGGAAAAAGTAGAATCAGCACAGAGTGAGCAGAAGAACCTCTTCCTTGTCATATTTCAGGTAGGTTGGCTTGGAACATTGATGTGTAAAAGACATCTATACCAAGTCAGACACCAGTGGCTCACACCTGTAATCCTAGCTACTCAGGAGGCTGAGATCTGAGGATTGCAGTTCAAAGCTAGCCCAGGCAGGAAAGTCTGTGAGACTCTTACGGCCAATAAACCACCAGAAAGCCAGAAGTGGCGCTGTGGCTCAAGTGGTAGAGCACTAGCCTTGAACTGAAGAACTGAGGGACAGCACCCAGGCCCAGAGTTCAAGCCCCATGACCAAAAAGAAAGAAAGAAATCTATACCATTTCTTTAGTTTTTTATTCGTGTTGTTTCTGTTTTGTTTTTTGAGCCAAGGCTTTACAGTAGTTCAGATTGGCCTTGAACTTGTTATCCTCATGCCTCAGTCTCTAATAAGTGCTGGGATTACAGTTGTATACCATCATACCTAGTAAAAATGTTGCTTTTGATCACAAAAGGAATATATGTTCATTTAGAAGAGCTTAAGATATAAAAATTCACAAAGGAAATAAAATGTCACCACTGAGGTCTGTGCTATTAGCACTTAAAATTCCTATCCCATGTTTAATTATTTACTATCAATTATTTATGATTGCTGTACTTCCTATGGACATTTTTGGGTACAGATGCCTTTTAATACTACCAAGAGTCAGGAAGTAATATTGCAAGAATAATTTAGACATTATTTTCTATATTACCAAGAAGGATGTACCAACTCAAAATTATTACTGGTCTTCCTTTTTAGGTGGACAGTATTTCAGCGAATCATGAAAGGCAAAAGTACAGTATAGACTACCTGGTATAAGCAGTACTTTTAGGGCCCTCAGTTATTAGCTTATTTCTGAAATGTAAGGTTCTCCATCTAATACTTAAACTTCATTTGTCCTTTCTAGCGTTTTATCATGATCTTGACTGAGCACTTGGTACGATGTGAAACTGATGGGACCAGTATATTAACTCCGTGGTATAAGAACTGTATAGAGAGACTCCAGCAGATCTTCCTACAGGTTTGAGAACTGCTTTGAGTAGATGACAAGCACTATTCTCAGCTACAAAGGTTTCCTATTTTTTTAAAGAAAAATCTTCATCAGGCTAGGGATATGGCTCAGAGGTGAAGTATTTGCCTACCATGCACAAAGCTGTCAGTAATGTCCAGCACTAAAAAAAGAAAACGAATAAATCCTTCTAAAATTTGCTAGACTCCGTAGACTCTTCAACAGCTACTATTATGCATCAGAATATTTAGGCTTAAATTGGCTTTATATCATTCAAACCCTAACTGCTATTTTCCATTGCTAGGGAGCCGGCTGTAATCTAAACTGTAGAGGGAAACATGTAAGGGAACCATAATTTTATAGGTAATTAAATGTCACAATAGCTGATAAACAGTGCCTATGGAAGTCAAAGTAAGCTGAGGTCTCTGTAGAAACAAAATGCCAACACTGCTCTTAGTTATGCTGACATTAAAGATGTATAAGAGAGTGGAGCTGACCTTCAGGCAATGTCCATTTATTTTACAAAAGTCATTAATGCAGAAGCCTTTTTTAAAGTTGAATCCTTTTAAGCTTCCCAATAGAAATTCCCTATTTTTCAGTTACTGATAATTAAAAAGCTTTGACAGCCCCTGGTCATGTACAAATATTCAAATATATTTGAGTCTACCTAAAGCAAATAGGCATGTTTTGGCTTCATAGCTCAGTCCTGCTGAGGCTGCTTTCTAACAAGTCACCATGTATGGGGAGACCCAGAAAAGCTGGTCTGTAGCAATAGCTGCAAGCACTGCCTTGCATCATGAACTGCATTTCCACAGAAACTCCTGAGGACTGAGATGCTTCAGTTACTAAGTATCCCTTTCCCCACTGCCTCTACTGTTTTGGAGATTTTATTGAAACCCATCACTCCTATCAGCAGGAACTGTTTTTGTTCCTACCTCTTTCCTTCCTTCCTCAGTATGGGTGGGCTGCCAAGGGACATTGTCTAGTAGATTGCTTATTTGCTTTTTCTGACCAGCACGCTGTTTTGTATGTCCACAGCATCACCAAATAATCCAGCAGTACATGGTGACCCTGGAGAACCTGCTCTTCACCGCAGAGTTAGACCCTCACATCCTGGCTGTGTTCCAGCAGTTCTGTGCTCTTCAGGCCTAAGGATGACAATTTTCCCTCACGTTGAGATTTTTTTCTAATATCTTAAAATAATTTGTCTTATTTTTGATGGTTTGATGCTTGCTTTCTTGTAGCCTTTCATTTCTTAAAGGAAACAAAGGGGGAAAGGGGAAGTGAGGAGTATTATGTTATCCTTACTTGCCTCTAACAGGCCAATATTTCTTAGTGACAATGTGATAATGACCGTGTTGTATTATATATGTGACAGACACAACTTTTTAGTGACCGGTTTGATATTTTCTCTCCTTAAGGCACAAAACAACAGGTTTGAGGTATGTGAAACAATAGAGGTTCAGCTTACAAAGTCATGGGTAGAATGGTGAGCTTATTTCCAGGTAGCATAACTTGTCACAGCTCCTGGATATCCTAACATGGCTGAAATAAAACTAAAAATATGTTTTGTAAACTTTGTTATTTCATTACTTATTATCTTAGTCTATTTTTAAATAGGTGGTTTCTTACTGAAGGCTCAGATACCTCCTTTAGTATTTTCTCTTCAAAATACTTTTCTTCAGTAGTACTTTATAACCCTACTTCTTTATATAGCAAAGTGTTACTACTATTTGGAGTCCACCTTCCAAATTTGCCTAAATTACCTGGGAAGCTCTAGAGTCATTTTAAAACACCATTATGTTTGAAACACAGATTTCTCCAGGTGGTTCCAGTTTTGGGAACCATTGTTTTAGAGCATCTGGTCATTTGCCTACATGCACCTGAGGAACTAGAATTAGGTAGATTGGCTAAAACTGTTCTTAGAATTAGAAGTGGGTTTTGGCAGTGGATTGTATTCAGATAACTTCATTCCTGAGCCTATTTGCTATATGACATCAAGGCTTAAATGAAATGAGGGTTTTGTAAAATAATATATAATGAATTACCTGAGACGTTTCAAATTTCTAGGGTTTTTAAAATTCATTAACCTTAGAAAAAATTACTATTAATCTTATTGGTGGTATTTTTGTGCATTTGTACAAGATAGGTATCTTTTTCCTAATTACATCCGAAGTTCGTGATGCATTAAGTCCTTTCCATATTTGAGCAATATGGTTAGTCACTGTACATAAATCTTAATAAAAAGATACAGAATCAAGTCCATTCATTGGAAGGGAATTTCTAGGGTTTTTGTTTTGTTGGGGGGCGGGGGGTGGTTTGGGTTCGTCATGGGGATTGAACTCGGTCTGGGTACTGTCCCTGAGCTCTTTTGCTCAAGGCTAGCACTCTACCACTTTGAGTCACAGCTCCACTTCCAGTTTCCTAGTGGTTAATTGGAGATAAGAATCTCACAGACTTTTCTGCCTGGGCTAGATCTGAACCATGATCCTCAGAGCTCAGCTTCCTGAGTAGCTAGGATTAGGATTAGACCAGTACCCAGCAGTGTCTAGGATTTTTAAATATACCGTTTAATTCAGTCAATAAGTATTCAATAGATCAATGTTGCTTGGCAAGTTACTAGCAGAAAGAGGACCAAACCCAGGTTGTTGGCTAAATATTCTGATAACACAATTCTTCTCCCCATTGCTTAAGCAACTAGTTTCTGTCCTCAAGAAGCAAAAAGACAGCTGTCTTAAAGTACTGGTAACTTTGCCTTGAACTGCATTGTAATCCTTTTCACAGTACACAAGTCTAGCTAGTTACACATTCTAGAGATATTTGTAGTTTTCATTTCCTTTCAGTTAATCCTCTTTTCATGTGTAATGGTTGCTTCTGACAACTTCATGCTGTGGCCGTGCTCTGTCCCTGTCTAGCAAGCTACGGGTATGGAAAAACTGAACTAGGGATTAAATTTTGAAGAAGTAAAAGAACAGATGTTCAATAGTTGCTAGTGAAGCTTACATAGACAAAAATAGCCTGTCACACATACCATGCAAAACTAAATTCTGTTAAATTATCCTTATGCTATTTAGCATGATTGTATTAGGTCATTTTTATACCTTTAAAAATGAAGATGAGAGAAGCCATTCCATCCTGGTAGAGCAGATTTGACTTGGGTGTATCTGGATACCAAGATAAACTTAAATTGAATGAAGTTAATGGACGAATGAAATAAACCTCAAATAGATAAATCTCAATATTGGCCTTGGCTCATTATCTAGAGGACTATTATGATTCAGATTTAAGATTCATCATATTAAATTTTAAATAGTACTCCAAGAGATTCTGCTTATTTGACATAAAAAATAGGCCCAATGAAGAAACTTGTCCAGGGGCCAGAGCCAGGAAGTGGAACTTGAACTTGGATCCATTGGCTGAGAGCCCTTTGTCTCTCACTGTACACTGATACTCCTCCTCATAGCCTGGACCCCTGGTTAGTCTGCTGTCATCAGACCACAAGCTTCCCTCACACACATACACAAACCTGGCAACCCATTCAAAGTCCATTTTTACTGAGTTTTAATGTTTATAGCACATGAAAAAAAAACCTGCTTGAAAAATACATTGACCATTTCTGTGTTGAACTTTTATATCCAAAACAATTAATTATACAGTCCCAAGAACCTAATTACTTGAGTTTGGCTTGGTTTAAGTTTGGGTTTTCTCCAAGTATAATTCCCAGTGGCTAGTCTAGAAAGATGTAAATGTATAAACTTCTTGTTTTTCCTGTTTGGAGTGGAGAGATATTGATATCAAACAACAATTTGTCTATTTCAACTTGAATTTCATCAAAATAATGATGCCTAGATCCTTTAACTGCACTTTTGTAATCCTTTTTGATAGGATTGAGAAAATCTTATTAAACTTTGCCAAATGTCTGGGGTGAAATAAGAAAACAGGAAGTTGTCTCTCCCCCCAACTCCTCCCCCCTCCCACCCCAAATTAAATGAGAATACCTGTAAGGCACTTGGCAGTACTTTGAATAAACTTAGTTTTAGAGAGAGCTGTCTATAAAACCCTCTAGCAACGGGCTCTGAGAGTGCAGAAAACATGATTGGATTCCTAGGGTTTACTGTTTATTCCTATTGTATGTACATCAGCATTTTTTCCAGCAATGGTTCCTCCCTCTTCAGGGAAGAAGTAGTAGTTGGGTGCTGGTGGTTCACAACTAACTATAATCCTAGCTACTATGCAGGAGGCTCTGCTGGAGGCTCTGAGGATCGTGATTCAAAACCAGCCCAGCAGACAAATCCAAGAGACTCATGTCCAGTTAACCATCAAAAGGCTAGAAGTGGAAGCATGGGCCTTAAGTTCAAGTCCCAGTACTGGCACCAAAAATAAAAGTAGTAGTTCCTAAAAACCTGACTTAGAGACTGGTACAGTAATGTACCACCATCCTTATGGGTTGTGTCCAGTTTAGTCAGCTTTGGCCTTCATTGGAAGCTTCACCTCCTGCTCCAGTCTAGGGTTTGCTTGTTCCTCAGAGTGAGCTCTGACCTGCTGCCTCTCTCTACCATTTGGCTCCCACAGACACCACCTCTTTCCTCAGCCAGTCGAGCTGAACCCTAACTAAAACCTGCATTTAAGGTGAAAGAACACCTGGTGAAGAATCACCTACAAAGTGTTTCATTTGTAAGCCCACATTGTGAGTCTCAATGTAAAACAATTAAGTTTTCCTTAAGTATAAAAGTCAGTTTAAAAAAAGGTCACTGATCTAAAAAGAAAATCACATCTTTTCATATGTCAGTTCGTGGCCACATACAATACAGGTTTTGTGGTACATGTCATCGTCCAAGTTTTCTTCTGGTCCATACTCATGTTGATGAACAGCTGTTTCTCTTTTCCACACACTACTTCTTACTGCTCGCCGCAATTCTAAGAAAAAACAAGTTGCTTTGCTAAATCCAAAAATGAATCCAAGCTGTCAGCACATGTGCATATTTAAACTCTATGATACACCTTAATTTTACGACAAATCGAAGTTGATTACACATTTTTCCTTTCTTACCTCACCTGCTTGCCTGTGAAATCACTGAAGTCATTGCTGGAGTGGGATGCGGTGAGAATCAGAAATGGGTGTAGAATGGTTAGAAATGCAGCAAAAGAGAACAGGTAACAGCAGGGTACATGTGGACATGGAAAGGAAAACAGGATGCCACAGGAACAAAGGAGGAAAGGGGAATGTGACTTAAATCACATGTGTACAAGTCTGGAGTCCCTGCTATAAGAGACATGTTACATGCTTGCAAGAAAACTAGAAAGTCAAGATCACCATTAGGTGCTGATGTGGTTTCATGTTAGCTCATACAGGTGATACTAGGTCTGCTGAGTTCTTCACTATAAAATGTCACATTATTTTAGTAATTGCCAATGACAACTGCAAAGTATAACCTGTGAATAAGAATCACAGAAAATTAACAGGAAAGAAAAAACTTTTATTTTGCTTCATTTTATTCTGCAGGTAGGAAAACAGCAAACATAGCATGTGACAAGTATTTGGAACTTTTGGTCTATATGATACTAATGGCTTTTGCAGAATTTACACTGCACATTCCAACACTTTGTGCTCACTGGAAATGAACAAGATGGTGACTTTCCAGTGTCTCACTTAATGACTAGAAACCAGCACCATCTGTCTACATTTCTCACCAGTGGTCTACCTAGCTCATCAGTATTTGACAGTTCAACATATCAGTTTATAAGTACAATGAATCTTAATCAGTGTTACCTCTTCTCCCTATCCTTCCAACCCAACCCTTATTCTCAAATAACCAGGCAGAAAATTTTTAAAAGATTTGAAAGCTAGGTAGTGTGGCAGATGCTTATAATCCCAGTACTTTGGGGGCCAAGGCAGGAAGCGCCCTTGTTCATTACGACCCAGTACCTGTCACACTTCTGACACACTGGCTCTAGCACTTACAATGGCCCAGTGCCCAAAAGGAGAAGACCTGAAACATTCATGCAGAGGTGGGAGGTAGGTGGATGGATGGATTTATGGACTCATACACACATGGATGGAAGAACAAATTCAGAGACAAAAGAACCAAGTTGCATGCTGAAATAAATGCACTGATGGAGGAATGACTATATATGAAGAGTTCCACTCAAAAAAGCTTGGGTCCTGTTCCTACGTTTTATACATACCTTCCTGGAATATAAAAAGAAAGTGCTCAGACCAGCTAGCATTAGAGAGTTTATTCTAGCTGTAGCTGGATGTGGCACAAGCCTAAAGTCTCAGTACTCAGTTCACAGAAGCAGAAAGGTCATGATGTCAGGACCCACCCAAGAAAAGTTAGTTGAGATCTGTCTCCAAAAAAAAAGTTCCTTTTAGTCTAATGAGAATTGGCATGATTTTTCATTTGAAGCAATTAGAGAAATTTGTTGGTGAACCTTCCCCCCCCCCCCCCCCCCCTTTTAATGTGTGTCAATCCTGGGGCTTTAACTCAGGGCTTGGGCACTGTCCCTTAGCTTTTATGCTCATGGCTAGGGCTCTACCACTTGAGCCATAGCTACACTTCTGGTTTTTAGGTGGTAAATTGGAGATATGAGTCTCACAATCTGGTGCCCAGCTTAAGCACTATTTTTTTTCTCACACTTGATCATATATCATGCAGCTGGGTGCTGGTGGCTCATGCCTGTAATCCTAACTAGTCAGGAGGCTGAGATTGAGGTTCAAAGCCAGCTCAGGCAATAAAGTCCATGAGACTCTCATCTCCAATTAAGCACACACACACCAAAAAAAAAAAAAAAAAAATCCAGAAATGGAGCTGTGGTTCAAGTGGAAAACGCTAACCTTGAGCAAAAATAGCTCAGGCCCATACTTCAAGCCCCAGGACTGACAGAGACACAGAGACAGAGAAAGACATTTAAATGTCAAATTTTAAATTTTAGGTGTCAAGCTCTTGACCAGAGATACCATCCTTTTTCTGGCACCATTTGTATATTTAAAAACGATTTACATTAGCATGGTGGTGTGAAACCCAGTATGAGGAAGTTGAATTGCCAAACTTTAACTTGAAGGCAAACTTCAAGTCATTCAATCTATGGGTAGCATTGTCTTTTAAAAAAAACAAACAAAAAACCCTAAAGGCTTTCTGCTACTTTGTAAAACCCCATTATGACACAAGATGGGCCACTCACCTTTCACTTTCTTATCGAACTTCCTCTGTTTCATTTTTTCTCGGTTTTCCTGTCGCACTTCCTTTGCTTCTTCCAGTGCTTCCTGACTCCCCCAAACTTCGAGAGACCTCTTCACAATCTACAAAACAGCACACAATGAAGTTCCCTTTGCACAGATTATTAAATTAATTATCAAGCACACAGCTATCGAAAAGAGTCATCTGTCTCAAGTACAGATTTACTTACTGGAAACTTAAGTATTTCAAATGTGAACAATATGAAACTAATAACATCTTAGAAACTGCCCTCTTGCTTTTAGGAATTAGAATTTAGTTGTTGCCAGTAACTCATGCCTGTAATCCTAGCTACTGAGGTTAAGATCTGAGCATCAGGGTTTGAAGCCAGCCTGGGAAGGAAAGCCCGTAAGACTCTTTATTTCCAATTAATTAGCAAAAAGCCAGGAGTGGAGCTATGGCTCAACTGGTAGAGTGCTAGCCTTGAGCAGAAGAGCTCAGGGATAGCTTCCAAGCCCTGATTTCAAGCCATTAAAAGAAAGAAGGGAGGAGAGGGAAAATTAGAATATGACTGCAATGATTGATATTTTGGTTCCCTTAACATTATGAGTATATCCCGAGCTTAATTCATTTTGTCCACACACAGAGACATACACATTCTGGTGGCACTGGGTTTGTTGGGTCACATCTTAGCTCTTTTTGCTTTAGTTTTTGTTTTTTTTTTTTTTTTTTTTGGGGGGGGTCCAGTCATGGGGCCTGAACTCTGGGCCTAGGCGCTGTCCCTCAGCTCTTCAGCTCAAGGCTAGCGCTCTACCACTTGAGCCACAGTGCCACTTCTGGCTTTTTTCATTTTACTTATGTGGTGCTGAGGGATCGAACCCAGGGCCTCAGGCATGCAAGGCAAGCACTCTACCACTGAGCCATCTTCCCAGCCCCTGCTTTAGTTATTTCTTGAATAGAGTCTTATGTTTATGCCTTGTCCATCCTGGCCTGAGATCGTCCTATTCTTTTTTTTTTTTTTTTCTTTTTTTGCCAGTCCTGCTCAATGTCCCTGAGCTTCTTTCGCTCAAGGCTAGTACTCTACTACTTGAGCCACAGCGCCACACTTCAGGCTTTTTCTGTTTATGTGGTACTGAGAAATCAAACCCAGGGCTTCATGCATGCTAAGCAAGTACTGTACCACTAAACCACATTCCCAGCCCTTCCTGTTCTTGTGTAACTGGGGTGACAGGTGTCTATCAACCACATTCAGCTTTTATTGGATGAGATGGGGTCTTGCTAGTAATTCTTTGCCTGGGCTGATCTTAAATGGCTATCCTCCCAATTTCTGCCTCCAGAATAGCTAGTATTACAGACACAAGCCATATGCACCTAGGTATATTCTGTATTCTCTTAAAAAGAGTAGAGGTATATAATTCAAAGTCTTAAAATTAGAAGGAAGACTTAGAACGTAAAAGGCCCCTAGACTTCCATCTCCAAAATAACCAGTAAAAAACTGAACTGGAAGTATGGCTCAACTAGATAAGTGCTAGCTGAGCAAGCCAGCCAAGTAAGAGTGCAAGGCCCCTGAGTTCAAGTACTGGGAAAGAAAAAAAAATTGTTTTGTTTTTGGTTTTCTGTGTGGAGGACTGTGGGATGGGAAGGAGAATGAAGTATCACTCTTAAATCTTGAGTTTCAGAACCATACAAACCTTACCCACCACCTACATATTTGTTCCAAAATGCTACAGCAAAAGGCAAAATAAGAAAATATGGCTACTAAATATCATTACACATGACTATGATGTATATGCCAAACAAGAAAGAGTCCTTTCCACTCTGTAAGCAAAATGAGAACAAACTAGAAGTAGCTTTTGTTAAAAATTTCATGAGGGGTTGGGAATATCGCTTAGTGATAGAGTGCTTGCCTAGTGTGCATGAGGCCTTGGGTTCAATTCCTCAGTACTACATAAATAATTTCTTTCTCATGAATACAACTTATTGAAGACCTGCAGTTTTAGGTAGAGCTTCATATCACCCCACTGTGCATGATGAGGATTCTTCTTCACAATGAACTTCAGAGCTGGTTCTCTTTTTTCCAAATCACAGTCTTTCAGAAGGTATTCTTGCTTTGCTTCTGTTTTTGTTATAAGCTTGTGTTTATCATCAGCATCTCTGAAAACAGATTAAAGTCCATTATATAAATTATTTTAAATAAACTAAGTTTTCATATAACCCAGCAATCCAGGGGAATGCACACCAGAAAGACATAAAACACTTCTTTCTAGCTGTAATTCTCCTAGCACAAAAATTCTAACATAAATACTTCATCATTTATTTATTCTTAAGTTACCTAACAATTTAAAGTTGCTCTTTCTCCTGAGTTTGAAATTACTTAGAATAGTAGGCCAAATGTGAGAAAAAGAAAATACAAAATAAATTCCAAGGTCAAGATGGCCTGTGTAGTTCAATCTCAGTGCAGCTGGTATCCATCTGGTTCTGGATGTTGTCAAAAGCCAGGTAAAATCAGAGACAGAGTCAACTACACAGGCCCCATTCGTTTGTTTACCATCCATTTACCAGGTACTCTTCAAGGGATATAGTCTTGCTTTAAGAACTGCATAAAGCTTTGTCTTAATGAGGCTTACATTCTAGATAGAAGTCAGTCAAGCATAATGACAGGTTGAAATGCTAAAGGAAAAAAAGCAGAATGAAGGATAGATGTTCTCAGATAGGAAGTAATCAGAGAAGTCTACAGGGGACCACATGAGCACAGCCCTGCAAAGTCTGGGCAACCAGCACACCCTAGCAGAAGGGAGGGCAGGCAAGTGCTGATGCTCTGGGGCAGTACAAGATTCTAGAACTCAGAGAAAGGGGCAGGTGTAACCAGAATGCTTACAGTAAATGTGGAGGAGGAGGGGAGGGAGGAAAAGTCAGAGGCACACACAGGCCTCATAGGTGATGGTGATGACATCAATTGGGGCATTGGAGAGGGACTACTAGGGGTACACAGTGGGGTAGGTCTGGCAGAGACCAGTTAAAAGGACAACACAGTGGTCCAGGAAGCGCTGATGGTGGACTATATTATGTCAGTAGTGGGAGAGGGTGAGAAGGGAGTGGGTGTGGGATATGCCTTGAGCATAGCCAGATGGACTTGGAATTGAATAGAGTACAGAAGAGAGAGCCAAGCAACAAAGCTAGCCATTACTAAGAGGAAAAGTACAGGCTGGGGAAGAGGGAAATCAAACTTTCCTATCACAAGACCTACCTAAAACTAGAAATAACTCTAAGGAAGCTACCAAGTAATCTGGAAGGGTAGATGAAAGGGAAAGGATGCATAGACTATTCTGTACTAAAATCATAATCTTCGAAGATGACATAACAAAATGGGGGCAAAGGGGAGTTGCATTCCTAATTATGTTTAAACAAAAGAGTATTTTACAGATTAATACACAACTCTTTTTTTTTTTGGGGGGGGGGGTCCGGTCCTGGGGCCTAAACTCTGGGCCTGGGCACTGTCCCTCAGTTCTTCAGCTCAAGGCTAGTACTCTACCACTTGAGCCACAGCACCACTTCCAACTTTTTTCTTTTTGCTTATATCGTGCTAAGGAATCGAACCCAGGGCCTCAAGCATGCAAGGCAAGCGCTCTACCACTGAGCCACCTTCCCAGCCCCTACACAACTTTCTTTAACCTGACATTAACAGTCCCTGCATTTTCTCCTGTTCCTCAAAGCTGGAACAGGCCTCAAAAAAGAGTGGTCCTAGGACCACTGCACTGATGGGAAGTGAGTTCATAATAACTGGAGAGTTGGAACATGTTCAGCTCGTTACTGATCATGGGAGACCAGGGAAATCACTACCACAGTGTGTCCATTAGGGATTCCAATTAGCGACAAGCCAATGGTGATGATGACTCTCCTGGTGTGCCCTCTATCCTGGGGAGGGGACATCTAGTGCTACAGGTACAACAGAGGCCTTCAATGGGCAAAAGATACAAACTCGGGACTTGGCTAAGTAGACAGGAGAAATAGGTGAACCACAGACAGTAACAAGGATCATTCTAGGATGATATAAAAACGGATGCAGGAAGTGGCACTGTGGCTCAAGTGGTAGAGCACTCTCCTAGAGCTGAAGAGCTCGGGGACAGTGTCCGGGCCTAGAGTTCAAGCCTCATGACAGACAAAAAAAAAAGGATGCAGAGCATGGTGGTTCACATTCATAATCCCAGCACTTGGAAGATAGAGGCAAGAGAATGAACTCAAGGTCAGCCTCAGCTACATAGCAAGACCCTGCTTCAAAATACCAAGGGCTCAATCTTAAACTGTTTTCAAGTACAGTAAAAACCCTCCTGGTTTTGATCCCCAGCACTGGTGAATGAATGAAAGCATGTATGTTAGATAAAGGCTAGAAGAAGAAGAAAAAGATTGAGGGGAGAAAAGGGGAATGGAAAGGTATCTGAGCTTTCTCTCCTCTTACAAAGGCCCCACTCCTCTATCCAGGAAGCCTACATACACACTGGGATAAGAAAGAAACAGGATCCTTCGGACAGGCTGAAAAAAATGGTTATGAACTTGCTGCTGAGAGATGGAGTGAAAAAAAGGGAAACAGAAAGGAAAGAAAATTTCTTAGGTAGACTGGAGGCATTCTCTCTGTTCTATAGGGCATATCAGAAACCTGGATAAACCCAGGGTTCTATGTTTCTTTGGCAAAATGGAGACCACAAAAATGTTTGGAACCACCCCTAAAATAAAAACCATAATTTAAAAAATCAATTACTAAGAAAATAATACAAACAAATATAACCATTATTTTTCCCTAGTCCACCACACAAATATTAGATTTTAGCAATTTAAAAATACCATCTGATAAAAAAAAAATTAAAAAAATAAAAATACCATCTGGCTTGTCCTCCCCACTACTCAGGAAGCTGAGGCAGAGCAACCTCAGCATGAACAACTTAGGAAAACCCTCTATCAACATAAAGTACAAGAGGGCTGGGCATGTAGCTCAGTGGCAGAGTGTTTACCTAGCATGGGCCAGGGCCTGGGTTCAATCACCAGAGCCGTTAAAAAATAAAATAGGAAGGAAGGGAAGAAAGAAGGGAGGAGGGTGAGGAAGAGGAGTGGAAAGGAGGACGTGGGTACTAAAATAAAAATCAGTACCTGCAGTTATCACAGGTTGCCAAATCAAAGTGATTCATGAGGTAAGAATCCATAAATTCTTTCCCACATTCTTCACATATTGTGTAATCGAATTCCATGACGGGCCCTACAGAAAAGAAGATGAGCTCCATAATTTTCCTTTCTTTTGTGACTACAACAATATCTACTTTCTTTTCTGTTGCTTTGGGTTTTGGTAATTGGATATCTTTTTTAATATTTTTATTTAGCATACATTTGTTGTACAAGAGGGGTTCATTGTTTTGTTTTTTGTACCAGTCCTGGGGCTTGAACTCAGTGTGTGGGTGCTATCCCTAAGCTTCTGTACTTAAGTGCTCCAGCACTTTGAGCCACAGCTCCATTTCCAGCTTTTTGAGAGTCAATTGGAGATAAAATGGACTTTCCTGTTCCAGCTGGCTTTGAACCATGATCCTCAGATCCCAGACTCCTAAGGAGCTAGGATTACAGGCTTGATTTACTGGCACTAGGCTAAGATCGGTTTCTAAGCCTGGCCATTGTGACATTTCAGTTCATGTATACCCTAATCAGCTTCACTGCCTCTACCATTCTCCCTCATCCCCCTCAAGACAATTTCAACAGGCTTCAATTGTTCTACTTTCATATATGCAAATAAAGTATTTTGGCCATGTTTATCCCTAGTTATCCTCTTTGTTTGCCCTTCCCCTTCCCACTGTGTCCCTCACTCAAGCTTGCTTTACTTTGCTGTCATTCATTTTTCCTTTGTGTGTGTGCAAGTTACACTGAACACTCAGAAACTGGAAACACACTGCTCAAAGCCTTCACTCTCTCCATGCATTCAGTCTTTTGTTTCCTTCATTTGTGCAGCTTATTACTGATAGAGGCTTAAGGGCTCTTATTTCTTAATGGTGGACAGTTCCTTACTGGCTGTCAACTTTATGGCCACAGTGTCCAAGTCTCTTCACCTTGAGGATATGTGTATACAGAATGTTCTTAACAAACCATTAATCTTAGATAATAGATTCATATCCTTCTTTGTATGTCAGGTCTCCCTATCTCCTACTTTTTTTGGGGGAGGGCGGGGGGAGGTCCGGTCGTGGGGGCCTGAACTCTGGGTCTGGGCACTGTCCCTCAGCTCTTCAGCTCAAGGCTAGCACTCTACCATTTGAGCCACAGCGCCACCTCAAGGCTAGCACTCTACCATTTGAGCCACAGCGCCACCTCAAGGCTAGCACTCTACCATTTGAGCCACAGCGCCACTTCTGGCTTTTTGCTTTTTGCTTATGTGGTGCTAAGGAATCAAACCCAGGGCCTCGTGCATGCAACGCAAGCGTTCTACCACTGATTTTTGGTCGTGGGGCCTGAACTCTGGGCCTGAGCACTGTCCCTCAGCAATTCTGCTCAAGGCTAGTGCCCTACCACTCGAGCCAAAGCGCCACTTCCAGCTTTTTCTGCTTATGTGGTGCTGAGGAATCAAACCCAGTGCTTGCATGCAAGGCAAGCACTCTACCACTGAACCACCTTCCCAGCCCCCTATCTCCTACTTTTTAAACTGTTTTTTGCCCTTCAAACATAAAAGACTGTCCTTAATTTGTCCTCTTGGGTTCTTGTGTTTTTGGCCTTTAATTTTAGCCTATAATGATTTTTTCTTTTTTCTTTCTTTTTTTTTTTGTCAGTCATGGGGGCTTGAACTCTTGGCCTGGGCGCTGTCCCTCAGCTCTTCAGCTCAAGGCTAGCACTCTACCACTTGAGCCACAGCGCCACTTCCGGCTTTTTTCTTATGTGGTGCTGAGGAATCGAACCCAGGGCCTCGAGCATGCAAGGCAAGTGCTCTAACACTGAGCCACCTTCCCAGCCCCATCAACACACTTTTATACACAAACTACAAATTAAATAATTTCCACATGCATGGGTGTTTCTTGGATTCTTTTCATCAAAACTGTCAAATATTATCCCTCTTACAAAGATAATCTGCTCACAGACCAAAGAAGCTATGGTAGTATTTAACATCGACTTGCAAAGAATAACACATGTTACTCAAAGTAGCCAACCTAGATACTTATTTTCTGAAAAATTCACACTTTACCTGGCTGATGAATCACATTTGCAATCTTTTGTTCTTCTTTTTCTTCCTCTTCCAAAATGAAGCCTCCTCCTGTGTCAATTATTTTGGGGGCTGCTTTTACATTAGCCACACCTACAAAAGTAAATAAAAATGGTTGTCAATTGAAGGAAGCCCATGTGTCCCTTTCCACAAAAACAGAAAATTTTCTTAACAGATATCACACAAGACAAGGATGTTTGGTCACGTCTATCATCATTGTACTGAAGGCTGCCACTGTGCAATATGACAAGAAAACCAAACTGCACAAAGGCTAGAAAGAAGTTAAATGGTACTCATGAACAGAAAATGTGACTGTTTATGTCAAATATCCATAAGAATTAAGACATAACAACAATAATGTACAGACCCTTTGCACTGAAAACCGTAGAACATTAAGAAAAACCAAAACATGAATAAACCACATGTAGATTTTAAGCCTGGATATTATAAAAGTCAATTTTCCCAAAATTTAATCTTCACATTCCAGGTGATCCCAGTTGACCCCCCCACCCAAGAGTAAGACACTGGCAGGTGGTGAGAGTTGCTGATAATCTGATCCTAACATATATCTGAATAGTAAGAACTTAGACTAGCCAAAATACAAGCTTGAAAAACAAAACCAGAGGATTTATCTAAACTTTCAGTCATTAAGGCACTATATTATTGGCAAAAAGACACATAGGCCAATGGTGCCAAGGAGACAGTCCTAAAATGGACATACAGGTATATCTACTCTTTTGTGGCAAGGCTTCCATGGCAATAAGTGGGAAAGGATAACAACCTTGCAGGAACTGGTGCTGGGATTTTACCACAATCCACCATACTACAGTAGCACTGGGAAGAAATCTTCTCAATAAGTGAACTTTGACTCTATCTCCAACAAATACACACACGTAATAAGCTTAAAATGGATCACAGTCTTCCGTGTGAAAGGTGAAACAATACAACCCCAGACAAAAACACAGAAGAGTAATTTCATAAACTTGAGATCCCAAAGCTTCTTAAACAGAACACAGAAAGTCCTAAGAGAATAAATACTATTCTGGACTGAACTAAAAGTATGAACTTCTCTTCATCTACCCCATTACAAAGAGCAAAATGAAAGGCGGTGTCTGTAACATCTGACAAAACCCGACTCTAGAATGACAAGCTATTATAAAACAATAAAAGACAAATACCCTAACTTGAAAAGAAAAAAGTAGAACCTGGGTATTTCACAAGCAGGGTTATTCCAAATGGCCAGTGCATAGATGAAGAGGTTCCACTATCATTAGCCCCCAGAAAAATGCCGGTTTACACCAGCACAAAACACCCTGACATTCTCACCATAATGTGTGGCATGAAAGGCCACCCCCAGACCATGAGGGTGTGGAGCACACAGGACGGCTGTACACTGATAGTGAGAGGCCAACAGACAGACTGTGTAGCTGGCAATCTCTGCCAAAGCTGAGACTCTGCCACCCAGCAACTCCCCAGATCTAAGCAGATGCTAACACAAACTTATTGCTCGTTCAGGAAACTACCAGTTAGAAGGAATACTCCAAAGTCCAAGTTCCCAGATACTATATTACCAAAGACCATGCTTTACGCAATCTGCAGATAGGTCTCCAACCTGCTGCAAACTCATCTCTGCACAAGAAACTGAGGAAGGCAAATGGGCAGCATCTGTGGCAGCCTAGTTTAAAAAAATTGATAGTTAGCTAGGGGCTGGTGGCTCACACCTGCAATTCTAACTACTTAGGAGGCCAAAGTTAAGGAAGAGGTTTTTGGTCAGCAGCAAGAGAACAAATGCAATAGCAACTATGAAAGCAATTAAAATGAATACTGCCATAAAATATAAGGGTTACCGTTTAATACTGGTCTCTACAAGGACCCCTTTGATGAGGGAGATGTAACAGAGATGACACTGGAGGGCAAAGATCTTCCACCCTTTCACCCTATCAAGAAAGTAATATCATGCTTGCGTGAGGGCATCAATAAGACAAAGCACCTGCGGTGCACACGGCAAAAAGAATAAAACATACCGCTGATAGGTGATAACAGAAAGAAGGCTGAGGAAATATGGAGGATGTTAAAGAGTTTTATCACAGGACCAATGGAAATTTTTGGAATATTAAAATGGAAAGGAACTGAGTGCCTGTCTGTGGCTTATGCCTGTAATCCCTGCTACTCATCAGGCTGAGTTCTGAGGATCGCGGCTCAAAGCCAGCCTAAGCACGAAGGTCCATGAGACTCTTTTCTCCAATTAGTTACCAAAAAGCTGGAAGTGGCTCTGTGGCTCACGTGGTAGATCACCAGGCTTGTACGAAAAAACTAAGGTACAATGCTCAGGCTCTGAGTTCAAGCCCTAGTATTGGCACAAACAAACAGACAAAAAAAAAAAAAAAAAACACCTAACGTATGTGAGGCATTCAAAGCTAGAAGAAAAAAAAAAAGGCAGAAAACTACTGAAGCATGCATGGGGGATGCAGAGGAGGGGAACCGATCCTAGAAATCTAGAAAGAATTTGGGTGGGTCACTTCTAAGAGCAATGTCAGCAAGCCAGAAATAGGATGGACAGATTTAAGAACATGACAGATGAGAGCAAGCCAAAAATTAATCCAAGAAAGGGGGACAGATGGAAACCTCTTCCTGCAGGTGAGAAAGGTGGCCCTGGCAGCAGGGGGAGCTAGTGGGCAGGGAGGGCCCGGTCCCCGGGGTCAGATGACCCAAATTTCTGGTCTCAACCGAGCGCGAGTAAAACATCAGAGACCAAAGCCTTGTCCTTTTTCCTCTCCAGGAGGATGTCTGGGAGAATCCAGCTTGATAATCTACCCGAACGAGTGGCGCGCCACAGGTGCGCTCCCCCGACGGGGCGGGCGGCGGCCGGGCACAGCTGGGAAGACCGGCACTCTGGCTGGCGGGGCGGCCAGGTGCCGGCGAGACAGCCCCAGGGCTGGGCTCGGGGTGCAACCGCCGAGGCCAGAGCCGGGCCTGCGCGCGCGGGGGCAAGCCCCGAGGGCATCGCCGGGGCCCGGGGAGCCGGGGAGCGCCGGGGACGGGGCCAAACCTCCGGTCGCCGCCGCTCCCACTGCGGGGTAGGGCCGGGCTGCCAGCCGGGCCTGGCGCAGCATCAGCGCCCGCTGCCGCTTCCGCTCGATGCTCGCGCGCACGGACGCGGGCAGCTCCGCGGCTTGTTCCGAAGGTGCGGGCTCCGGTGAAGTCCGCTCTGCCGCCGCGGCTGCTGCCGCCGCCATCTCCAAGCCACTCCGTGAACCGGGACTCGGACCACGCACGCGCACGCGCGAACGCACACACCCGGCGCGCGCACACAGCTCGGCCGCGTCCCCACCCACCGGCCTGAGTGCGCCTGCGCAGTCAAGGGGACGGGCAATGAGTGGCGTCTGGGCATGCGCAGGACCTTGAGCTTTTTGTATTCGTACCCACCAGTTTTTTTGTACCCTGGTCTAAAGATTGGTTCTGAGGCTATTCATTTATTTTCTTTCTCTTTTTCCCCTTTTTAAAATTGCATTTAAAAAAGTATTAAGGAATTTCACAAAGGGTACAATTCCACAAGTTGGGTACAGTGTTTCCTGGTCATGCATAAAGTGAGTTTTGCTTAGTGGCTGACAATACGGACTTTGGATTCAGACCTAAAAGACTGAAGTCCGAATTCTGACACTGGGCACATTACTTAACCAGAGGTCAGTCTTTTAATGGTAAAATAGTACTAACGGACCGACTTCTGGGCCACTGGGAAGATGAGCTGAGCCATCACAGTGATGGTAGCAGGCAGTGGTTGGTACTAATCACACAGACAAAAAGATGATTGATCTAACTTTGTGTTGGACACATGACCTAGGGAACAGAATCTGGGATTTGAAATGAGAAGACAGGTTCAAACTTGTGCAATATTTGGAACCAAAGCTAGTTTACATGAGGTTCACTGTACTTGCCTTGGAACTTCCCTTTAGTATGGCTGAGCTGCTGTTGCTGATGCTGCTGCCAACATGGAGGCCAAATAGCCTGACTTCATGAAAGTGTGACAAGTGGAACAAAACATTGTAGTGCTTTACCAAAAAAAATTTAACTATACAAAACAATTAAAACTAGAAAACATTCAATTTTAAAGAACTCACTGCATTCTACCATCTGTGACTAATTTTTAGAAAGATCAACTCGATACAATGAGTGTTCCATTGATGATAGAGTTTGGAATTTATAATGCAGTAGTTACAATCTATTGGTCATATGCATTATTCACGTGTGTGTATTACTTATGTCTGTGTACACAGTTAGCCAGCCTTTTTTGCAAACTTGTTACACATAATTTTGGCTGAGTGCAGTTAAAATAATAAAATCAAAGAAATTTCAAAAACAAAATATTTAAATTCCTGACACATGCATTACAGTTCTGTTGGTGTGGAGAAGCTCTCTGTCATATATTATCATCCATTGTGTTTAAATCATTGTGTTATCTACTCAGTGTTTCCCTGTGTTTTTTAGTTGCATTATTATTATTATTATTTGTTTTTGCTTAAACTGGGGCTTGAACTTAGGACCTGGGCACTGTCTCTGAGTGTCTTTTTGCTCAAGGCTAGCACTCTACCACTTGAGCCACAGTGCCACTTCTGGCTTTTTCTGTTTATGTGGTTATGTGGTGCTGAGGAATCAAACCCAGTACTTCATTCATGCTAGGCAAGTACTCTACCACTGAGCCACATTCCCAGCCCTTTAATTACATTTTTGTCTCTAAGTAGTTATACAAAGAAGTTACCATTCAACAAATCAGTTGGGAATATTGATGTTACCCCTTTCATCACTCCCTCAATTTTCTTAACTTGTAGAATATGAAATGACCTTTATGACTACCTTCCCCTCCTCCTTACTCTTTTTAATTTTTGTTGGTGGTGGCAGGCTTGGGACTTGAACTCAGGGTCTGGGTGCTGTCCCTGAGCTTTTTCCACTCAAGGGTAGCACTCTACCAATTTGAGCCAAGTACCACTTCTAGTTTTCTGGTGGTTAATTGGAGATAAGAGTCCCATGGACTTTCCTGCCCAGGCTGGCTTTGAATCAGATCCTCAGATCTTAGCCTCCAAAGTAGCTAGGACTACAGGTGTGAGCCACAGCTCTTCTCTTCCTTTGTCTACCTGCTTTCCCTTCACCCTACCCTTACTTTTCAAGTATCAATTTCCTGGTATTCACTATTTAAAGGAATTACACTGTTTAAATTCTCCCCTAAAAATACCATATTTTAGTTAATCAATTTGTGTGCACTTGCATCCAACTCCAGTGTGGTTACTTATGCATTTATAAATTAGAGAGAAAAGATGTATCCTTTGTCTCTCTGGGACTGACATACTTCATTTGACATACTTTTTCCAGGTCCATCCATTTCTTTGAAAATGATGTAATATCATTCTTCCTATTGGGTGAGTAAAATTCCATTATATAAATATATATATATATATATATATATATATATCTCACATTATCTTGATCCATTCCTCCATTGAGGATCATCTGGGCTGATTCGGTACCTTAGCTATGGTGAATAGAGCTGCAATGAACATGACTGCGCTGATGGTTTTTTATTGCATCCTTGTTTGTAATTTTTTGCATAAATGCCTAAGAGTGGTATTGCTAGATCAGTTCTATGTTTAGTTTAGAATCTCCAAACTGCTTTCCAGAGTGGTTGAACACATTTTAATTCCCACCAACAGTGTACTAGGGTTCCTTTCCCCCAACGTCTGCATTATTGTTTGTATTCTTGATGATAGCCATTCTAATTGGGGTGAGGTGGAATCTCAGTGGAGTAGTTTGGTTTCTCATTTCCTTTATGGCCAGAGATGTTGAGCATTTCTTCATGTATCTATTAACCATTGTTACTTCTTCTCCTGAGAAGTCTCTATTTAGCTTATTTGCCCATCTATTAATTGGGTTGTTGATTCTTAAGCTCTTTGGTGTTTGGTTTCTTAAGCTCTTTGTATAATCTGCATATTAGCCATTGTCTGATGTATAACTGACGAAGACCTTATCCCATTGAGTAGACTGGTCTTTTTCACTAGTCAGTTATGTTCTTTACTGTGTAAACACTTCTTAGTTTAATACAATCCTGTTTGTCCATTTCCCTGCTGTTGATTTTGTGAAAATATGCCTTCCACAAATCATTGTTCCCAAAAGGCAAGGAAGGAAAAAGTTATGATAATCTTCCAAAGCCAAAAAGGAACTTAATGTGCTTAATTCAAGTGAAAGTGAAACTTTTATTTAGGTTTGTTGGAAGCAGCATGTCTTTACTGCAAGTTGGGTAGTGATATGGGAAAATGGGTCAAGCATCTGCAGTGCTTTACAGTTCTGAACTCTATGCATGCTGAGTATTTGAAATATATCCTCTTCTTACCTATCCACTGACCTTGACCAGGTGAAAAAGGTCTCCGATTCCTTTATTTTTTATTTTTTTATTTTTGTCGGTCGTGGGGCCTGAACTCTGGGCCTGGGTGCTGTCCCTCAGCTCTTCAGCTCAAGGCTAGCGCTCTACCACTTGGGCCACAGCACCACTTCTGGCTTTTTTCTGTTTATGTGGTTATGTGGTGCTGAGGAATTGAATCCAGGGCTTCATGCATGCAAGGCGACCGCTCTACCACTGAGCCACCTTCCGAGCCCAAGTCTCAGATTCCATGACATCCAAAGCACAAGCAATAAAAGAAAAAAAAAAGGCTTTTATGCATCAAAGAACACTATCAAAAAATTAATCCAAGAAGGAGGGAAATACTTGCAATTTTGATATCTGATGAGACTAATATCCAGAATATGTAAATAACCATTTCAACTTAATCATTTAACTTAACTTTTTACTAAAATACATGCCACTGGGCACTGGTGGCTCAGAGCTGCAATCCTAACTACTCAGGAGGCTGAGTACTGAGGATCAGGGTTCAAAGCCAGTCCAGGCAGGAAAGTCTATGAGATTTATTTATTTATTTATTTTATTTTTGTCAGTCATTGGGCTTGAATTCTGTACCTAGGTGCTGTCTCTCAGCTCTTCAGCTCAAGGCAAGCCCTCTACCACTTGAGCCACAGCACTACTTCTAGTTTTCTAAGTGGTTTATTGGAGATAAGTGTCTCATGGACTTTCCTGTCTGGACTGACTTTGAACCTGCTAGGATTACAGGCATGAATCACTGGTGCCCAGCTCTGTGAGATTCTTATCTCCAATTAACAACCAGAAAACTGGAAGTGACACTGTGGCTCAAAGTGCTAAAAGGCTAACTAGCCTTCAGCAAAAGAGCTCAGGGAGTTCAAGCCCCATGGCTGACAAAAAGGGAAAAAATAATGCATGCCTGTTTTTAAAATTAGCAAAGGACTTAAACAACACTCCTCCAAAGAAGATAAATGGATGGCCAACAAGCACATAAAAATGTCTTTAGTCTCTGGTAAATGTATTTAGTGCTGGTGGCTCATGCCTGTAATCCTAGCTTCTTGGGAGGCTGAGATCTAAGGATTGTGGTTCAAAGCCAGCCTGGGCAGGAAAATCTGTGAGACTGTTATCTCCAATTAAGCACCAAAAAAATAGAAAGAAGAGCCATGGTTCAAGTGGTAGAGTGCTAGCCTTGAGCAAAAAAGTGCTCAGGGCTGGGTGCCAGTGGCTCACACCTGTAGTCCTAGCTACTCAGGAGGCTGAGATCTGAGGATGGCAGTTCAAAGTCAGCCCGGGCAGGAAATCTCCACTAAACCCCGGAAAACCAGAAGTGGCACTGTGGCTTAAGTGGTAGAGCACTAGGCTTGAGCTGAAGAGCTGAGGGACAGCGCCCAGGCCCAGAGTTCAAGCCCAATGACAAAAAAAAAAAAAAGCTCAGGGACAATACCCAGGTCTTTCATTCAAGGCCAGGACTGTGTATGTGCGTGCACACACACAAAATTACAAACAGCAAGTGACGATGTAGAAAAATTGGAATACTTGTACATTGCTGATTACAATGAAAAATGATGTAGATGTGTAAACCCCCGCTGCCTTAACCTCAGCAGGCACAGCTTGGTTGCACGATAGCACCTGAGATGAACCTGTAGGCTCTACATTGCTAACTCTGTGAGGTTGTGGAGTGTTTCTTCTCTCTCAAAGTAATCTGAGTGACTGGTTCCCAGAACCTTCCTAATGAAGCATTCCAGCCTGAGCATAGCAGGACACAGAGCACAGCTTAGATGCCATGCCGACCCTGGGGTTTTGAAACTTCCTGGCAACCTCTTAGTTGCAACCTCTTCTTTTGCTGGTCACACCCTTTCCTTTGTCATAGGGACCTTTGTTGGTGAGTTTCATGTAATTGAGT